TCTGTCTGTCTCTCTCTGTCTGTCTCTCTCTGTCTGTCTCTCTCTGTCTCTCTCTCTCTGTCTCTCTCTGTCTCTCTCTCTCTCGGACAATCTATTCTAAATGCCAAATACACATTATTGCTGCACGTGACAATTTCAAGCCAGGAAACATACGAATTGTTAAAATTTACAACTGTGTGACCAAGCAGTAAAATAAAAAATAATATAATAATAATAATAATAATAAAAGTAACAATAACAATACCAACAACTCTTGGTACGTATTCCGTCAAAATCATCTTAGCCGCAAAAGTACAAGTAAATTTTTTCCATTGTAGTGAATTGTTTTACACTTGTTCTCCGCTTATTATTAAACAATTAATAACTATTTTTTAAATGTTTATGAATATCGTTTGTGTGCTATCAATGTAAAACTTTATTTTTACCACACACTAGATATATTACATTTTCATGTACATTTCACAAGAGATTTTTGTCATTTCAAGTTCACTTTTGTGTTGTGTTTCTTATTTATTGATGACATTGAATAATTGGTTACTCCAGCAACGAAATATATTCTTTTGTGTGTATATTGGATGATATTCACGAAATGTAATAAAGAAATAGTGTCTTAACGCATGTTAAAGGTGTGTTGAGGTTAAAATGGCGCAACTAAGTTAAAATTTACTCACATTTCAAATTGGTTGAAGTATATTGGCATGTTATATTTCTTATTATATTTAAGAATACAATCTATTTGATGTCTATAAGTTCAAAGAGAAAGATGGAGTTATGTTTAAAAATGTAAATGTTTGAATTTTAAAAATCACAAATGCACACATAAATAAAATTTGATGTATTAAGCAATTTACACATGTGACGTTCTTGTTGCATGCTGGTGTTTTTTAATATCATTTGCGGATTACTGTTTAAATTGCTGAAGTTTTCTGAAGTGTTGTATTTGACAGAAAAGGTATTATTGCGTTTTGGTGTATTTGAATAGACTTTCGACATCAACTGCATTGATTACTTGAAATTCATAAAATTGTTCTGTTAAGAGTAGCGATAATGTCTTTTCATCCACTCTTGTGACTTTCAGAACTTATCCCAACACAAACATTCGGTTTTTATTATTTTTATGATCTTGTTCTCAAATTTTGTAATGATCTACTGCGATTCATGTAATGTAAGTAAAAATAAATGTAAGTATTCATCTTGTTCATTACTGAGTTGGAGAGGTTGACAACCTTAATGAAACCAATGTATCATTATTGTTGCAGCCTTTTCATCACACTTCCTACCTAAAGGTAGTGAAGGTATATACTCGGAATCACGTTCATTGTTTTTTTTATCAAACTCATTTAAAAACTAAGGGGTGAAGTACAATCCGTGCACGTTATCGGTTATTCTTGCGTCTGCATTTACAAGTTGAATTCAGAAGGCAGATGAGCGGTTTTGGCAAGAATTGATAAAATATTCGCTCCCGTGTATTAAAAACGATTTACAAACACAAAAAATACACATTCTGGCCGTTATTTCCCATACTACTACCAGAACTTGTAGAACGGTATATATAATATGCGACCAAGGTGCACAGTAACGAACCAAGCATAACTTTTTTCTTGCAGCCGTGTGAAAATAGATATCCGCCTGGTTTGGGGCAGGGCGGCGGTTCTTTTGATTGGCTATTGCCTCAATCAGGTGCTGTGAACTAATTGAACCTGCCATCCTGAATGAAAGACTCCGTAATGGAGAGACTACGTTAGCGCGCGGCGATGGTGTAACGGTTAGCGGACTGTTGTACTCAAATTGGCGGGTTCAAACCTGATCGAGGCCGTGGATTTTTAAGAGCGAAATTATCCTTCGTTCGTCTTCCTTCGGAGGGGAAGTAAAGCCGGCAGTCCCATGTTAGTAGATTTACTTGCATTTAAAAGATAATGTCCAAATGACGCCTCTGAGCTAAATTCAAATCGTCTATTTGGTCACCCAAGAAATACCTCCTTTCTCCGCTAGTGGGTGAAAGGAGCGGAGCGAAATTTGCGTGGCCAGACGGAAGAGCGGGCCTGAGGACCCGAGTCTCACCACGTAAAACAAGGCATTAATTCAATAAGTGAATATTGGCAGCCCTCGTAAATCTCTCTGATAACAGGTGACAACGCTTTGTGAACGGCTATTCTGTATAATTGTAAATTGTAAATAAAACTATTTTACAAAAAGAACATAGTAGGACAGAAAGAACATAGAAGAACAGAGAACATAGAACAAAAGAACATAGAAGGATATAATAGTATACACATTTTTGAAAATATTTAAAACGCTTATTGAACACATACTAAACGATTTTTATTTTTACTTATTTTATTTATTCCTATTACACATTTATGACATTTGCAGAACATTTAGAACACTTATTGAAACGTTTAGAACACTTATTGAAACGTTTGAAACACTTGTTGAAACGTTTGGATCACTCGTTGAAACATTTAGAACACTTATTAAATATTCTTTACATTTTCGACTCTTACATGAATCTGTCCAAAGAGAAGCATTACTTGCATTAATCACCATTTTGCTACCTTGAGCGTCCGTCTTTATCCGATGGTAATTTTTTATTACAATTGCTCTACTGAAATATTCCTACCAGTGAGCTACTTTTTTACCTTTTCAGACGACGATGATGTCTATGTTGAAGCAGATTTAAGAGTGGCTGAAAAGAAAGAATAATATGTAAGTACCTCAATGAATCTTACGAATAATTTGTTTGTTATTGCTTATACACGACAGCTAACGATTGTGGCAAGAAGGGTCGTAAGTCCCAACTCTTTAACTTCTGTAGAAAGTAGGCAAATATATACTGTTGGCAAGCCTGTTTTGTTTTGTTTTTGTTATTTAAGGTCGCATAAACTAAGGTCATTAGCGACCACTATTGCTACGGCACTACTAACTTAGCGATCTTGGCCATCCGAACAGGCTAGCCCGGTTTTGTTCATATAATTTAGCGCTGTTATACTTACGATCGGCCCAACTGTTATTTGGCCCAACTTTTCTGTGACGTTATGTACGTCCGTACACGCCGGTGGTACGGCAACCGTGGTGGTAATGGTGAAAAAGGATTTTAGCGGTAGAACCCAACAGAAATAGGACTAGTACTATTAACATTGAATATAAAAACTCCGAATCCCATAAATATAGTAATAGAATCGCCTTTACGAAGATATATGACTACATACTGGCATTTTTAGGCAACAACACCCACTTTTTTAACATTAGGATCAAACATTTTGAAATTACATCTTCAACTATCTTTCAAGTTCCGTTATTCCTTCAACTTTGCAATTCTCAATTTAAATTTTCAACTGAATGTGGCTAGACTGCCCTCCACCACGTACTTAAAATTCAGATACGTTTGTGTATAATTTGTATATATTTTGTATATATCCCTTTTAGATTTCTACATATAACAACACGAGAGCTTTTATTAAATTCGATGCTCAAACAGATTTATTTGCTATTTTTTTCTTTTTTTTGTGAAAATAATTTTGGCTCAATTGAACTGTTATATAATTAAATTTGCTCTTGTACGTGATGAGGGAGACAGAACAGTCTCCGAAAGTCGAATGAATACACAAACAAATAAAATTATTATGTAAAAAATTGTTGGAAGTAATTGTAGTTGTTCAAAATTTAAAAGAGGGACTGAATATAAATTAAATATAATTATTTAAAACTTAATTTAATAATATGGAGGAGGTACATGCTGCCGTCAGTCCGACGGCCAGCGGTCCGGAAGCTCTGGCTCAGGGGCGGCACTTCGCAACGGACGCTCCAATGCAGCCATACAAACCGCGCACTGCGTTGTCGCCAACAATGATCGGCCGATCCGGTGGCCGAGATCGCTAAGGCAGTAGTGCCGTAGCAAACTCGGACCGAAGGATCGCGGGTTCGAGTCCCGCCTCGGGCATGGTTGTATTGTGTTTCGTCCTTTCACCCCCTATCATCATCATTATCGTGTCAACCCACAGTTACCATACCGTTACAAGCAATAGTGGTCGCTAATGACCTAGTAGTTGATGCGACCTTAAAAAAAACAATGATCGGCGACCGCGAACGATTGTTTTGAAGGAAGCCGCGCCTCCGGACAGGGGAGGGGGTCGGCGCCCGGGTAGCCGGCGAGCGTGGTGTGCCCCGACGCCTGGAATGCAAGTGGCGTGTGTAAACAATTTCAGTTGAAACGTTACCTGCCAACACGGAGTTGCTGCTGTTGCTGAGTACTGCTTGGAGGAAGTTCCCTCCCCTCTAATCCACCTCCTCCTGCCTCCCCTCGTTCTTCTTCTCTTTCTCCTTCGTTTCCTTCTTCTCCTCGTCCGCCTGGTCTCTGTCTTTCTGTTGGCGTAAGCGAGATGACGACTTCTTGACGGTTTTGTCTCCGGCCTCGCTGGCTTCGTGGATTCTTCTCCCAGACATAAAGCTCGACTGCGAGAACAAAGGTTGCTAGAAGAATGCCACAACCTGGAAAATCAGGTTTTTAGCCTTTTAGATCGCAGACATAGAGCGCATTTTAGAACATTTGATTTAAGAATTATTTAAGTATCATACATTAAAGATGAATACTTATTATTTTCATGGACGATAATTACCGAGATCACTATGTAATTGAGCCACACAAATGGTGCGAGACACTAGGGGCTCTAAAATAGCACGTACGTTTTCGCATTGTTTGTAAGGAGATTCGCAATATTACGAGTATACATAAACCACTCTCCACACTGGAATTCGAATCCGGGTGTGTCAATTTGGCACTATAGCATAATCACATCAAACCAAATGTATTACTTAAGTATTACTAATTTATTACTCTAAAGATAAATTTATTACTGTTGCCTTTTAGTAAAAAATATTGTTGAAACCGGTATAGTTCTGCAACGACGCACGACATTCGACAATTATATTAGAGAATACGAACGGGCACAAGCAAATATAGGTAATTAATATAGATAATTAAATTCACATTGAATACTAATTTATTACTAGAAGAAATGTATTTCTGTTGCTCTGTAATAATTTATTATTGTTGAAACGGCATAGTTAGCATAATACGCACGATATTTGCCAGGTATGTTTTAAAGTGCGTTCGTGATTGTATACGTTCATTTCTGTGCAACGCTTATTTAAAGGTATCACACAAAATATGTAATTTTACTTCTAATAAAGAAATTTTCTGCGTTTCTGCGTAACTGGTTCTTCTAGGAAAACTCAAATATCACACTTATATATTTTGTATCCAGAAATATTCATGTGAGAAGAATTGTGGTAATATTAAAATTTTACACAGTTGTCAAGACCAAACTTCATACAGATGTCATTCTGTATCCCACATCACTGATGACAGACAGCATTTGGTAGAGAATCACTTCATCCTTAATGGAGCGATGAACTAGATTCAAGTTCTCCACTTCAAAATCCAGTTGCATGCACTTTTGGGGTATTCATCACCTCTATAATCTTGGTCTTTTTAGGGGACATTAACGTTTGTCAAATCTGCCTTCAAGATACTACTCAATCTCGCAACTTTCCTTGGCGTGAAGTTTGACTAGAGTTTAACATGGTGAAAGCATATTCAAAAGTCGAAGATCCGCTCTGTACCATCAATGACCCCCTTTCTGGTGATTTCAACAGTATTTTGACAAGCTTCTATTTCTCTACGAAGCCAGTATACCTGCTCATTGTGATTGTGAAGTCCAGGCCAGATTTCAACCTAGAAATTAACCATATCATTTTCATTTAGGGGTTGACATTGTCACTCTCCTCCATCACCAGCCTTCAGTTGAGCGTAAAATTTCTTCCAATCGCTAGCAAAAATTGATTCCTGATTACTTCTTTCTGATGCTTCGCTGTATTTCCAGATTCTCGCGCCAAAAACTGCAATCTTTTGAGTCTCTCTTCCTCTACGAAGTACAAAAGTAATCGTTGATCAACGATTAAAAGGCGGAAAAGAATCGTTCATCCCATCACTCGTTGCCATCACTACTGGTCTCACCCCGATGATCCGCCGGTCTCGCCTGTCACTGCTGTGATGAGGGGGGGGGGGAGTAAACCTCCCGTAGCCGCGCCAGGACAGAAGAGGGGCGGGTCGCCTCCACTACGGCCTCCACGCGTCCACGTGCCGCTGCCTCACAGTGACGTCAGAGTCGACGCGCCTGCCGACGCTCGACCACCTTCAGGCCTCTGGCGGGGAAAAGGGGAACCTCCCCACTAGTCGTGGAGATACGAAGGTTGCCCTTTGTATTTTGGGATTTGGCAACCCTGATGTTGCAATCTGGCAACTGACAGCTCTACCGTAAAGTTGGATGTTTTGAGGTAATATGTACTCAGAACGTTTTGACATACGAGCGCTATTTGTGTTGTTTACAGTAACTTAAAATATTCACCTAGGCCCAAAAATGGAATTCAATCGTGAACATTTTCGTACCCCACCCTACCAAAACCATTTGTACAAACTGATAACGAGGTCCTCGAAGAAGTTATTATGTAAATGAGCGAGTTAAATCTAGGAATGTAAGGAACAACAATACTCTTATAATGAGCAGTTTTGAATATTGTTGAATATTGTAAAATATTGCTTTAAGAAGAGAAATCTCTTTTTAGAAATTTCTCAATAAATTTTGGAGGATAATCATTAAGGGCTAGTATGGATTTTACCATGTGGATACTTTGGGAATGGAATTTGTGATCAGATAATTTAAGAGCACTGTCAATCATATTACAGGTGATTGTAATTGTTTTGTTAAAGGGAGTTTAGTGTTATAATTCAAAATTCTCTCTGTGTCGGTAAGTTTTCTGTACCAATTTGATCTTTACATTTTTTCTTGTAGAGAATAGCAGTGGTGAATTACGAGAAATTAGAAATACTGGAAGAAGTACTTTGAAGGCTTGAAAGGATTACAAAGCAAAGCCTCTTAGCCACATACAGAAGACAATCAACATTTGGCGGTCTCAATCTCAACCCCAACCATGAGTATTCAACAACCATCGCTCATTCGGTCGCCGTGTAAGGAGCTCATAACTTTCTGAGCATATCCACCGAAAACATTCTCAACATTTCTGAAGACAAATGTTTAAAAAAAAAACTTTATTTTCGTCCGTTTCTATAGAAATCGGTATAATTGGATTAGAGATATTGAAATTTTTTAGATTCTCTTATATTTTGCCTTCCTTTATAATGAGGAATGTGTCGATAACATGGCGCCAATAAACCAATGGTCGGTTTTTTGATAAAACAGAATTATCTTAGTTTATAATTACTAGTTTTAAAAAAACTACTAATAGGACCTCCAATACGTGTACCTTTCATTTGTTGATAAATGTTGAGCTAAATTTAAAAGAGATGTTGAGAACTTTTCTTTAGAGGAAGGCAATATATGAGAGACCAAAAAATTCAGTATCTTTAATTCAAATGTGCACTTAACTATAAAAAACAAGAGACAAATATTGTAATTATCCAACATTAAATGGGGACGAGAAAAGTATACATGTTTCAATTTCGACTTTGAAAAACTTCGGACACTCTTCGTTCCATTTCCTGCGGTGTACAGTATAGGCCTTAATTAAGACGCCTTTAATTTGTTTTTTAACATCAGGTCTCTTAAAGTCATATACAGCACAGGTCTGCGAAGATCACTGCCTCAGTGTGTATTTTTTACAATCTTCCCGTGCAAGTTGAAAAATACTCACATAATATTCCGAAGTGTGGCCACATGTTCTTCATAGAAAATGGTTGAGGTGCGTTATCTTCGCTATACGCATATGCTATTGGTATCTCGTTGACCAGTCTGATTTTTCTTAAAAATTGTTTTTCCCAGAACTCAAATAGCCCAGCAGACTTCATTTTAGCAAATAAAATATTTGTTTTATCCAACCAAGGCCAGTTTCTGAAAAGTTAAAATATCGTTGAAATATGGTTAGTATATGACATACACTTTTGTATTACTTGTCATTGTGTTATAGTTCTGATGAAATTATTCGAGGAATAAAATATACTTGTAAAGTGTATGTAATTGAGACCAAAGACAGTCTGGATCGAAAGCCAAAGTCAGCTAGTCTTAAAACTAATTGCTGTTTTTGTTGTTGTTTCTTTGTTTGTTTTCAATGAAGTGGCAATGAGTTTGTTAATCAAGCTGTATATGGCTACGTTGCAAACGAAATCTGATTAATTTATGTCGCCATGTTTAATATTTATAATGGCAGAATTGTATAAACATTAATATGATCAACAATTGAAGGGGTTCCTGGAGTGAGAATGTAACCAACAAAATCGACGTGATATACGTCTAATAAAGATATAACATGAATGCTCTACATCGGGGAGCACTCTATTTTCCGATACGTGTTTCTAGTTATTAATAGTTGAACATCCTATGGAAATATGATGGAACATCAGTCATGATGGCCGAGTTTGCAGGTAAACGATCATCGCTGGGCGTGCTAAGGCATATTTAAGGCCGGAGGCGTAAAATACATGTAAGTAATTAGAAGGATATCAAAGGAAAATGCAAAGGTGGATCTTGGGGACGAATTTACCACGAGCGAAGATGCTATAAAACTTCCACTGAGGTACGTGGAATAAAGGTGGAACATCCCTAACCGAAATGTGAATCGAGCCACGTCAAATCGCACGAGAGTTGAGACGCCTTTTGTAAAACACGTATGCTATTTTTTCTTAAATTTGGACATAAAAAGAGACAGAGCAGACAAGAGCGTTTTTTTATTTGCCAGAAAATTGATTATTTGTGTGGTTATGTCCGTATTAAATTTTGGAATTAACGCGTACTCGTAAAATATAATCAATTGTTGCTCCTATTGTACTTAATATAGAAATTACTGGTTTGTTTCATATAATACTTAGAAATGTGTGTTTTATACATATGTAAAAAATTTCAAAAAGTAAAGATTTCATTCAAAAAATTGTAATTATTTTAGGAAAATAAAAATTTTCATATTAAGTCGGTCAGATAAAAAAAAATAAAAAATTGGCGTATTTCTCGTTCACTTTTCTATAAAGTACAAGAAGAAAAATGTTTCTAAAGAAGAAAAAATTCTAAAAAATCAATTGTAAATATGACGGCGCCCTCCTTGGCAACGCACTACCGAATTGTCTTTGATCAGACTTTGATCTAAGTTCTGAAGAACAATAATACGTTTTTCAATAAATATTAGTATCTCACGTGTTAACTTTGCCCCCAGAAGAAATGGGTGACAGTGAAACGAATTCAAGTAGGTACTACTATTCCACCTGTCAGGGAAACGAATTTTAATTGGTTGTGTCCCTGTGTCCCGTTGCGTCGTAGGGATGGGGAGTCCTCCTGACCTCGACCTTGCTCGTAAAATACAACAGAGGAGCATGAGTAATTTTTTTATAATCACTCGCAATGTGTATCTTGTAAAGTGAAGAGTTCTTGAATTGATGT